CCAAGCCCAACACATTCACTAATGGGCTTACTTACCACTGGCCCAATAACTTTTCATGTCAAGAGTCATAGCTCCTTAAAAGCTCAAAGTCAAGTTATTAATAGTAGCTAATCATTTATACGTCAGACGCAATAACATTTCCCTTTTGTTATAGGATTTAAGGCATCGCAATCACTCCCACTTACGTGTTTGATGTCCTCTTAACTCACCTAGGTCAAATCCAAATAAGCTCATAATCATAAGATTCACTTTAAGTGATGTGAGATTATGAAGACTAAAACCTAACCATGCCCCCATTGTCGACTTTAAGCCTTTACTAGACTAAGGGGATACCTCCAATTGCTCAATTTAAAAAGTCCTAACATGACGTCCTACATGAGGATTTTCTTTGAAATCAATTGAAACAACTCAAGTTTTAATCTAGTATTGTATTGACCTAACAACCTTCCAAGGCCAAGTTCCACGTGCTCTTAAAATTTCAAGCTAAAAATAGTTTTATAATTGTTTGGGTGTGTGCTAGTGATGTAGGTTGATGAGTCAGTAGTGGTGATGATGTGGAGGCTGACTAGGATGCCACCCATGAATGATGAGGAGGGTCCTTTTGGCGGCACCCATTTCATGTGAGAGAGGCTATGTGCCATAGGCCTTTTCGTTCCGCCTAACGATGTTGGTCAACTGCAAATTCCCCAGAAAAGTTTGAAGGTGTAAGTTTTCTAGCCAAGCCGAGAAGGAGAGCTGGCAACGACGATAGAGTTCCAAGATGTCCAACAATGTTGGTTAGCAACAAATTGACCAGCAAAGTCTAGAAGTAAAGTTTCTCTAGCGAAGTCCAGAAATAGTCTCTTCACTGAAGTTTGAAAATAGAGTTTCTCCAGTGAACTTCAGTAAAAAAGCTTCTCCAACAAAGTTTGGAAATAAAGCTTCCTTGGCGAAGCTCAAGAATAGAGCATCTCTAGCTAAATCGATGCCTCTAGCAGAGTCTGAGAGTGAACCTTCTTCAGCAAAGTCAGAAGAGCTAGATATTGGAATTCGGAATAGTTACACAACTACCAAAAATATAAAAAGGAAATATGCATTGTGGTAGGAGCATCAAGGATAAAAATATACATGATGATCAAAGATTACAACTTGAGGAGCACATTTATACATAGAGTATTGTATCATAATAATAATGACATTTAATGTGCCCTCTATTATCTCTAATAAATACTCTCACTTTATAATGAACAACTCTCATGGTGCAAATGTGAAGTACAACAATTCCTCCTTTGAAGCTTTTTCAAGAACAAAAGAATAAACTTGAAAGTAGTGATGGGAGAAGGAAGGATAACCACCTTGGGGTCTTGTGAGTGGAGGGTTTGATCTCGTTTTTTATGCTAACTTTTCAACTGGAACCTTTGATTCCCATGAAGATAACCTAGAAAATGAATCTATAGTATGTTGTCTCCTATCCATGATGTTTTGCAAGTCTGGAAATTGTTTAGCAGTGCTTGAAATGCAGAAAATATGAAGAAAATGGTGATTTCTAGGTAATTTCAGTGTGTAGAGTGAGTGGGTGAGGATGAAGTATTTTTCAAAGGAAGAAAGAAAGTCTGGTACATGAGAGGGAAGTTAAAGTTGTGAAAAATCTAGTCTATTCTACCGAAAAATGAAGGAAAAATAATATATATGTGTAGTGGCATTTTTGTAATTTCTGGGTTGATGGGTCAGATGTGCACAGTGGCTTAATGGGTAGATTTGGATGAGTTGGCGAGTTTTGAGTGGTTTTAAGCGTGGTTGACAGCTTTTTGGCAGTGATATTATGAAGTACCTAGTGGTTCTAGCGAAGCTTCGTTGGTTCCAACGATGGACTGAAAACTGCCTATTTCTAGAAATTTCTCTAGCCATACGAAATTCCATTTTTGGGGAGGTGCTTGAGTGCAGCTGACAAAATCAAGTTTGTCCAAGATTTTAGAAGATTCTCCCAAGGACTGCCCAAGATATTGGTATATTTTCAAGTCTGACCAAGATTTTGGTAGATTTTCCCATTGAAATCAAATGTTTTTCAATAGTTCCCAAGGCTAAGGAACTTGTGCGGCGACCCTTTTTAGTAATTTTCAGTACTATGTAGCCACCTTTGCATTGAATATGGCTGCAAGTTGTTGATGGTGACCAAAACAGCATCTTTGGTTGGTTTTGAATGAGATTCCAAGCTTCTAGTTAGCATCAAACAATATACTTTTGGGGATTAAGTCTGCCTCCATCTCTTCACCACCCAGCCCTTTCTGGCGACGTTGGGCAACATCGCCAGCACCAAGCTTCGCTAGTGCGAATACCTTACTTTGCTAGACAGGCAACGCTCACCCATCCATGCCTGCCAAGCCACTACTCCCATAGTTTATCCTAAATATCCCCATGAGCTTGGTTTCATGGGTTTATTGATGATCTGTATAAAGGAATAGTATCAGTTGATGAAAATGATGAAATTTAATAGATAAGGAAATAATAAAGGAAATAGACTTCCTTATGTATTTCTGGCGATGCAACTATGTACTACAACATTAGATACTGTTGGGACTTCTTTTGTATTTTTGGCGATGCAGTCATATACTACAGCATCAGATATTGCTAGGCCTAGCCATGTAAATGCATGCTGGAAGCATTGTGTTTGGGTGCTTAGATCAAGATGGGTCTTAGTGACGTGAAAACTACCCGAGTCCAAGTTTGATATTTTACAAAGAAAACGTCCATGAACAATAATAAAATTATCTTTAATCAAACACACATTTAGTTTAAAAAAAAATTTTGATTTTTTTTGTAATAATTTTTTTTACATCAAATAATTGGCTATAGAATAAAGGATGGTCCTCTCATTCCCAAACCTCTTCTAACCATCTTAGAATTTGAATTTAAAATTTTCAACTCAGAGATTTAAACTCTAACTACTTAAATGTTTCCTAGGGTACCACAAATGATATTTGCATTTTGAAAAAAAAACTTTTTAATATAGCTTTTCTATCATTAAATATTACATGCATGTAATATTACAAAACTTAAGTAGGGTCAAAAGAGCTAACCATTAAACTTATACAGTACATTATTTCCAAATCATTTTTTATTTTTTAAATACTAATTTAGTCACTCAACTTTTAAATTTGTATCAAAATTATCCTTAAAATTTATAAAACACCAAAGTTATCCCTAAACTTTAAAAAATAATCCTTCTGTTAATGAAAGTTCCACATGACCTATTATATTGTCACAAAATCAGTTTTTTTTTTTAAATAGGTTAAATGCTAAATTTGGTCCCTCAACTTTAAGAAATGAACATTTTTGATCCCTCAACAATTTTTTGCACTTTTTTTATCCCTCAACTACAAAAAATGCACTTCGTTAGTCCTTCTGTTAATTTGAGCCGTTAACTTCGTTTATGTGGCATTTTTATATATTTTTTGATGATGTGGAGAGCAAAGTGATGATATGGACAAACATTTTGACATTTCATATTACCGTGTACCAAATCTATTCAAATGGGTCCCACCTAACTAATAAAAAAAGATATTTTTTTATGACATGACATATTAAGTATATTTTTTTATATTTTTTTAATAATATAACAAATTAAATTAAATATTTATCCAAATAAAAAATAATATCAAATCAAATTTTATTAATTAATCATTATTAAACTATAATTATTTATATTAATCAAAATTAAAATTCTAAATTAATTTATAATTAAATCACCATTTTCTCATCAAATTTTCTTTCTTTAACGGAGATTATAGTTTCTCAGTAATCAATCTTGGCAACCAAACAAATTCAAAGTATTTTCTCAGCATCCAAACACCCAAATTCAAAGCATTTTCTCAGCATCCAAACACCCAAATTATACCATTTTCTAGCCAAACAAATGAAAACCCACTAAGAATTGCTTCTTTGCCCAACTGCTTCTGTTCTTTCCATTTCCATTTTGAACATATAACAAACATGTAATGTCTTGGACAATCTCTTCGCAAACCAACATATAACAAAAAAAAAAAAAAAGTGGAGCTGGATTCGACGGAACCCAGCTCGAACCCAGCAAACTGGGTTCATCGAACCCGAGCTGGATTTGGTGGAACCCAGCTGCTGGGTTCCTCGAACCCAGCTCGAACCCAGCTCGAACCCAATCATCGAACCCGAGCTGGGTTTGGTGGAACCCAGTTGCTGGGTTCCTCGAACCCAACTGATTTGGGTTCATCGAACCTAGTAGACATAGAGGAAGAAGAGGAAGAAAGAAAAAGAAAAAGAAGAAAGGAAGAAGATGATCAAAAGAGGGGAAGAAGATGGATCAAAAAAGGGAGATGCGTAAATTTGTAATTTTCTATTTTTTTATTAAGGCAAAATCAGTTGATGAGTTGGTGATAAGTTGGCAATAACGTGGCTTAAAAAAAAATTCCAGATCAACGTTTTTTAAAATTATTTTTGCCATGTCATTAAAAAAATTATAAAAAATGCCACGTGTTGTAGTTGACGGTCTAAATTGACAGAAGGACTAACGGTGTGCATTTCTTAGAGTTGAGGGATCAAAAAAGTGCAAAAAATTATTAAGGGACCAAAAATATGCAACTCACTAAAGTTGAAGGACCAAATTTAGCATTTAACTTTTTAAATATTAATGACATGTAAAATCAAAGTCATTTTTTGTCACCATGACATATTCCAATCTACACATTAGATTAACACATAATCAAAGTTGAAAGATCAAATTATACATGTAATCAAAGTTTAAGGACTAAATTAGTACTTATTTTCAAAGTTCAAGGATTAAGTTGCTATCAAAAATTAAAGTTTAGGGACTATTTTGGGATCAAAAATTATAATTCAGGGATAATTTTGGTATTTTTTGAAATATAAGGACAATTTCAGTACAAATTTGAAAGTTGAGGGACCAAATTGGTATTTTGACTTTTTTTTTTTTTTTTGGTTTTTTTCACCGCGCTAAACCCCATTTGCTGGCCCTGTCTCGTTCCGACTGTTGTATCCGGATCTGAATCATATCTCTCAGTCCGCCATGGCAAAACCGACCGCCTCCCTCTTCCAAACCCTCAAGCGCTACATCAAGAAGCCATGGGAGATAACGGGGCCTTGTGCCGATCCGGAGTACCGTTCTGCCTTGCCTAAAGCCACGGAATACCGATTAGCGTGTCCGGCCACCTCCCCGCTGAAGGCGATCGTACCTACCTCCGATCCGGAGACCGTCTTCGACATCAAGTACTATACCCGCGACCAGCGCCGCAATCGCCCCCCGATTCGCAGGACGGTGCTCAGAAAGGCCGATGTTGAAAAGATGATGAAGGAGAAGACATTCGATATCAACGACTTTCCTAGGGTTTATTTGACAGCGAAAGTTGAGGAGGATTATAATGCCGTTGGTGGTGGCTACCAGAAATGAGTAAGCTACTTTGCTAGCTTCGAGTTCTGTTGGTAAATGATTTAGGGCTTTCTCAAAATACTTTAGGATTTCGCCTTAGTTTTTGCCTATTGTTTTCATTTGTGATGAATTTTTGTTTTATTAGGAGTTTTTCTGATGAATTGGAGAAACACAGATTCCATATTTGATATAACTCAACTCATGAAGAATGCCATCAGAAGAATTATAGCATGCCATGCCCTGAATTAAGTCTTATTGCTGAAGGGAAAAAAGCCCATCAGATTTGTGGCTTAGTGCTAAAAAAACCTTTCACTGTGTCCTGAGGCAGTTCCCTGTTTTTGTGTTTTGAGAGAAAGGCCATAGGATTCATATCGTCTGTAGCTGTTTATCATGACGGTTGGATATTGATTTTTGACCTGGGCAGTAGAAGTCCTCACACTAACCTTTCAGTAGGGTGCCTTGTTTTTTATTTCTGGATTCTCCAACCTGGGGAAGATGTTATTATCCTTGTCCAGATTTCATATTTTTATCTCTGTAGAAAATACATTCATATGGCAAAAGTGCGTTGTTTGTATGATGTGAGGTAAACTGCAGTGATTACATTTATATTTTCTTTTGTAAGGTGTATCTGATGTAATTTTAGACCAATTGTGATTAAACAACTTCTGTGATGTTCTGAATACTTTCATTTATAATTGAACTTTTTAGAAAGACCTTGTAATGAGGGCTGAAAAAACAGAAAGACCTTAGTGTGGAAGGCCAAAAAAAGAAAGACATTTTAATGTGGGCATTCAAGGGATTGACTGTGATACCCTGTGTACTAACTCCTTGACTTGTTAGCATCCTTGTTTAGCTTAAATAGTTGAATCTTGCAAGTTTCTTCCCTCCATTGATAGAATTTTTGTTCTCTGATTGTGCCTTTAATTTTCCTTTTAGTGTGTTGTGGACCTTATGGCTACTGTAGGGATGTTACAAGCTGAGGTGCTTGTGAGGTGAGCTCAGGCCTGGGAAATTAGTTCTTTTCTGAGCTGAGCTCAGTTCATTGACACCCTTGGTGAGGAGATGGTTTTATCATAGGATAATGTTGTAGGATAGTGAATCTGGTATGCTTGAAGGCTAAAAAATGTCAGATAATGACGATTTTGGTTCTCTTGCTGTCTCTCTCTAACTCTCTCTCTCTCTCTCTCTTGCTTCCATTTTTGGCTATTGAGCATTGGATTAAGGGAGTGAGATAGAGGGATGAGACTAGCAAGTGTGCATAACATGCTTCATTATGATGTCATACACTTAGCATATAACTGCTGTCATTAACTTAGAAAATTGCTTTTGGCTTGTGTTCAGGGTGTGGGATCATGGCAAAGAGCTCAGACAGCATTCCCTGACTTCCTTCTTTTTCTCTCTGTTATTATCACTGAAGTAATGCAGGTAATTCTAGCATGGCAATTTCTTGCGACTATACTGTAGTTGAGGAAGATGCAGTGTCCAACATTAATAAAGACAGTTGTCTGGATCTTGTTTTATCTGTTTATTCTGGTTGCATATGTGTTTGTATAGATCCAAATGCAACTGCAGCTGATTGATGAACACTTTGACTGATCTCTCAAGGTTGTATGATTTTCTTATGATTATCTATTAAAACTTTTCACTACATCAATATTTTAAATTATATTTATCTATCGTAAATTTTTCATTACATCACTCTGTTAAATTATAGCGTTTTGATTTTACTGAGCCTAAAACTTTTGTCTTTTAACTTGAACCTCTCAGAGGTTTTAGAGTTCTCTGGTCATTTGCGGCTCTAGATTTGGCCTAGTATGGTTAGTTTTCCATTTCCGGCCACTTTTCTTTCTTTTCCTTGTCTATCTCTCTTACTACTAGGGGTCAGCATTTTTGGGTATAGGTATGAGTTATATTTAATACTTGACTTGAAAATTTTTGGTTATAATTGGTATTTAACTTGAAAACCTTTAGGTAGAGCTTTTTAAACTTGGTATTTATTTAAATATTCAAATACCTATACTTGGTACCTAACCCAACAAGTATTGGGTAACTTTGTTAGTATATATTTATGTACTTGGCTTAGGGAAATAAGAAGTTTTGTTCAAATTGCTATTGCTATGTGTGTTACTTGTTTTGCCTAGAGTTTGTTATTTATATGAGTTGTTATTGTTGTGCGTAATTTGTTTGGCTTTACAAGTCTTACTTTATTTTTATTATTTTATTTTATTTTTATTATTTTTAAAAATTATTGTTATTGTATAGGTATTAAGTATAAGAAGTCTTGGTAAAATGTCAATTATATAAGTATATGTAATATGTCAACTAAATAAGTTAGTTAAATATATTAAGTAAACAATTTTAAGTTGTTATATTAGATATTTATGGATATGTTGTCTGCACATCCATTACTTGTCTAATTGGCCAAAGCCTTTATTTGCACCCTCCGTTTATTTTCTTTCCATGCTCAACACCTTGCAAAATTTTTCCTCCCAATCAACAGTTCTACTTTTTCAAACTCGTGAAAAACCTTATATTTTAATGACAACGCTAATAATGGTTAAAAAAATGCACTACATGCACCTAGACAGTAACATAAACATTATGTGGCATCATAAATCCAATGTGGAACTTTTTTTTAATGAGGTTGCACTATTTTTGCACATGTAGACACCACATGTAGTGAGGACCACTTGTTGTGGACCTTTCCTGTTTGTCCTAAAAAAAAACCAAAAACAAAAAGGGGGAACTTTAAGGTCAAATATGCAACAGTCTCTTGTCTTCTCACGTTTAAACATAAACCTTAATTGATGGTTTCTGGATTAATTTGAGTTGAAAGACATGGCACTGAAGGCGTTGGGGGCGTACTGACACTGCACTCCATGCATGGTGTAGAGTCGATTCTAGAACCAAGGGGAATCAGACACAAGTTTTGATTAATTCAAGTGGTCGCATCGTCGAATGGGAAGTTCAAGCTCCAAGACCCAGAAGATGTAGCTGTAGGCATTAAAAAAAATGTCAAAATTTAAAATATATTTACCCTAGTAAAAATCTTAGAAGTTAGGGTAATAAATCTTTAAAAAGATATTTTTTCTTTAATTTTAAAAAAAAATATTAAAATGACCAAATTATCCTTAAAGTGAAGGGCATTTGAGGTCATTTAGCAACATTCCTTTGCCTATAAATAGGCCATCATTTGATGAAAAAAAAAAGGAAAAAAAAAAAAAGGAGAGGAAAGAAAAAAGAAGAAGGAAGAAGGAGAAAAGGAGAGGAACAACAAGCTTCAAGCTCCCTCAACAATTCTCGAAATTTCAAGCCCCAACCTCCTGGCAAGGGAAAGCTCCAAATCCATGTCAAGGAGGAAAAGTATCAAGTGCAAGTCTTAAATCCCTTGAAGGACAAGAACAAGCTTAAGCCCTTGCCCTTCAGCCCTAACCTCCTGCCAAGGGTAAGCTCCAAATCCATGTCAAGGAGGAAAAGTTTCAAGTGCAAGTCTTAAATCCCTTGAAAGACAAGAACAAGCTTAAGCCTTTGCCCTTCTAAAATTTAGCTGTTAATCAAAGGGTCGTGCTGTTCTAAGATGTGTTACTCTTTAAAGCCCAAGCACGTGCACTGCAACACTCTAAATCAAAGATTGTCTCCTATTTTTCTTCAAGTTTATAATAATTTGTATTTATTTTGCAAATCAATACATATTATTTGATTTTGTAGATTTTGTGACTACAGTAGCAAAAAGAAATGGAGGTGAGGCTAAAGGGGATATCTTTTGATCACACCAAATTGATGGTTCCTTAACAAAAGTTGGTGACTACCTTTGGCTTGTGACTTCATTGGCACATCTCTCCTCCCTCCCCTGTTGTTTGTCATCTTTTCGTTTCTTGGGAGGACTCGGAGGACTCTTCTCCCTCCCTAGAAACTTTAGCTCCTTTGTTCAAAGAAAAAAAAAACAAAAATAAATTGCAAAACATTTCAAAATCTTATCCTTTTCCATAATTCATTTCGGCAGCAATTAGATTTTTTTTAATCCTGTTCATGACATTTTTTTAAAATTTTTTGTAATAATTGTCATCATTCTTTTGTAATTAATGAGGCTAGTTTAAATTTTTTTTTTTTCATCCACCAGATTGTTGAGTATGAAAGAAGGATTGTTGCCGGTGAACTTGTTGATGGTTTCTGAATTAGGTTTATATTTAAAAGTGAAAAGAGAAGGGACTGTCATAGATTTGATCTTAAAGTTCCCTCTTTTTTTTCTTTTTTTCTTTTTTTGGTTGGGATACAAGGACAAATGGGAAAGGGCCACAACAAGTGATTCCCACGGCACATGTGGTGTTTACATGTGCGAAAATAATGCCATCTCATTAAAAAAAAGTTTCACATTGGATTTGTGATGCCACATAATGTCCATGTTGCAAGCTAGGTGTCATGTATTGTATTTTTTAATGGTTATTAATGTTACATTAAAATATTAAGTTTTTTATGAGTTTAAAAAAGTGAAAAGTGTTGACCAAAAAGAAAAATTTTGTAAGATGTTAACTACAAAAATAAATAAATAAATAAATGAATGGTGCTAATAGGTACTTTCGCCTATCTAATTTTCTTACAATTTGTATATGGTACTTGAACAAGTACTTGTAAGTGACGAGTGTACTCAATGCACACTCTCACTCATTGCTAGGGTTGGGCATCTGGAAATCAAACCGATGGCTTACTTGGAAACCAAATCGAAAAATGAATTTGGTTTGGTTTTAATAGTTTTTGGTTTTTGTTGTTTTGGTTTTAATGTTAATTGAATAATTTTTTATTCGGTTTCAATTGAATCTTTCAAAATGGAAAATCGAAAATAAACCTCTTGAAAATCAAAATTAAAATAAATATGACAAAATATAATAAAATATGAGATAAAATATAATATATTATTAAAAAAATAATTGATTAATATTTATTTAATAAAAATCAAAACCAAACCAATTTTATTGGTAACTAAATCAATTGGTTTGTGAAAATTTTGGTTTAATTTCGATTCTTAAAATTGAAAAAAAAAAATTTTGGTTATTTTAAAACCGGCCCACCCCTACTCACCGCCAGATTTTCCTACTTTAATCTTTTCCTTCATCGGCACCCATCTTCTTACTTCGGCGATTTAGGCCTCCCTGATGATGCTTTGCACATGTCTTTTTCATGTAATATTTTATTTAAAAATGTGACTGTATAATTTTTAATTAATTTTAATTTTTTTACATATTTTTGTTTATTTCAATTAATATTTCATATATTTTTGAGCTAATAAAAGGAAAAAAAAAAAAAACTGACAAAATAAACCTTAGGCTAATTTTTCCTATTGCATTTTCTTATCGATCGAACACTACCCTTCACTTTGCCGGGCCTCCAATCAACTGTTTTCGAAGATCGGGGAGATTCAAAAGAAAAGGATGAAACCCATTTTTTCCGATGGAGGTGTACCAAGCTTTCCAAGGAAAGATCTTGAAGGTGTTTAGGTTTTTTTTTTTTTTTTTTGAGGAAGAAGGTGTTTAGGTTCTAGATTAAGGGTGTGCTCAGTTTGAGAAAAGCGAAGGGAAAAGATAAAGTTTTTGATAAACTGAATTACATTATTTATTGGCATTATAATTTAATTAGTTAAAAAAATTATTTCTCTCCACCACTTGCATTTGTTTTTGTCAAAACGTATATATTTTAAGGGTTTATTTGATATAATAATTAAAATTCAGTGAATAGTTAATAGTAGGTAACAGATAGCGTTAGTAAGTAGTGGGTGACGGCTAGTGGGTGACGGCTAGTGGGTGATGGCTAGTGGATAGTGGATGGAAGATAACCAAAAATAAGTAGTGGATAATAAATAACATATTTGATGGATATTATTATTTAGTTATACAATAGTTAACGATTGTTAATTAATATTAAATAACTAATAAGGACATATTTAAAAATAATTAAATGTATTTTTTAAAAATATTTTTTATTTTTTATTATTAAAATAATTAATTTTATAAAAAAA